CTTGTAGCTGATGGTAGAACTTGGGGGCGTTGTAGTGCGCCAGAAAGGCCGAGGACATGCTGGAGACAAGGGTGAGGGTGGCAGGGCTCATCGCCCACATCTCCTGAGAGTCAATGCTTCGGAGGGTTTAGGGTTTAGGGTTTGGGGTTTAGGGTTTAGGGTTTAGGGTTTGGGGTTTGGGGTTTAGGGTTTAGGGTTTAGGGTTGAGGGTTGAGGGTTTAGGGTTTAGGGTTTAGGGTCTAGGTTTGAGCGTGCTCCTTTTCTTGGGGCGGGGGCGGGGGGGGGGGGGGGGGGGGCAGTTCCTTCGAGGGATCCTGGGGTCGGGTTCGGTGGTCTGTGCAATTTGGCGCGTGGGTGCTTCTTAGGGGTGCCTTATTGGGTTTCGGGTTTAGGGTTTAGGGTTTAGGGTGTAGGGTTTAGGGTTTAGGGTTTAGGGTTTAGGGTTTAGGGTTTTATCACTCCTAGAGGGGGGCCGCGTGCCTCACCCTAAAATTGCGGTGAACTTCCCACAAGGAATCCCCGGAGTTTTCAGGGTCTTCCCTGCGTGGGGACATCCACAGAGATGAGCGAGACTCTACTTCGTTTGGGTAAGCTGTTCTCTGGTGTTTGCCCTGAGCCGAACCTTTTTTGGGGGAAGTTTTTGATGCGTCCTCAGGCATTCATTTTACCTGCCGCCGTGCCCCAGTGGAGCCGGGGCAGTGTGGATGGTTATTTTGTTGGGTAATGGCTACCTTCGGCGCTTACCTCTTCCTCTTCCTCTTCTTCTTCTCATTATTCTTCTTATTCTTATTCTTATTCTTATTCTTATTCTTATTCTTATTCTTATTCTTATTCTTATTCTTATTCTGATTCTTCTTCTTCCTCTTGTTCTTCTTCTTCTTCTTCTTCTTCTTCTTCTTCTTCTTCTTCTTCTTCTTCTTCTTCTTCTTCTTCTTCTTCTTCTTCTTCTTCTTCTATTCTTCTTCTTACTCTTCTTCTTCGCCGAAGTAAGTGCGGATGAGGTTGCCATCATAAGGAAGCCACATTCGCTGCAGAAGGTGCCCATCTTATGGCAACTCAAATCCCCCTAAGTAAGCCCTGGAAAACCTAAAAACCTAGACTTCTGGTACTCTTATTGCTTGCCCACATTCTTGAATGCTGCTATCCATATGAAGTAGGGTTTATATTACTGTTATTGGTGAGTGTATATAAGGTTCCTTTTTAATAAAACCCTACTTCATACATGCCGAATCATTGAAGTCTCTCGAGAGCAGCCAAGTCTCTGGCTCCCCCACCTCGCCCCAACTCACTTGTGTCCCCGGCGTCTGGCTTTCGTAGAACCTGTACTGAGCTTGGAGCCCTAGCAAAATTTTAATTTCAGCTGTTCCTGAAGGATTATATTAACCAAAACCCTAAACCCTAAACCCTAAACCCTGAACCCAAGATTAAAAATCATTTCCAAGTACCCCGAAGGAACTGGCCCCCCGGCTGGTAGGACCCGTCCGCAAAGCGGAGGACCATGAAGCCGACCACGGCTGCCTCACAAATGAGCCCCAAGAGGCTGCTCCAGGCAAGCTTCGAGAGATCTCCTAGTTCATGGTTGGGATCATATTAAAAATCTAATTTCTTATTCCTTATTGGGTTTAAGCACCCTTAAAGATGCAAAAAATGTTACCCAACTATGACAAAGTCTCGGAGCAGGCAGAGAGGCAGCAGGACGAAGAGGAGGATGGTCACCCAGCTGCCACGCCTTGAGCTGAGCCAGGTGTCGATCTCAAATGGGGCAAGGACGTCCTCCGCATTCCGCCCGATGACCAGCGCATACGCGACGCAGCAGGAGAGAGTCTGAATCAGATTCGCAACGGCCATCACGTTTCCAAAGAACACCCCTTCGGTGACCTTGTTCCCCATGCCGCGATGCGTCTTCTCACTGGTTGTCTCGCACAAACGTCCCAGAGTCCAGAAGGTGTAGGTCATGGCGAAGTAGAACACGATGGCGATCAGAACTCCCGAGTAGATCCCGGTGCCGGCGGCGAGCCCGGCTGGGAGGCTTAGAAGCCCTTCCCCAATGATGCCCTTGGCAATGTTAAAGGCTGTCTTCCACACCGGAACCCCAGGGAACTTCTCATCATCGCTTGTCTCGATGTCGGAGTCAAAGATTGAGTCGTCCTCGCTGGCTTCGGAGGCCGACTCCGACAAGTCCAGAAAGTCCAGGAAGCGCAGGTGTTCCATGTTTCGGGTTCAGGGTTAAGCTTTAGGGTTTAAGGTTTAGGGTTTAGGGTTTAGGGTTTAGGGTTTAGGGTTTTGGGTTTAGGGTTTAGGGGTTAGGGGTTAGGGGTTTAGGGTTTAGGGTTTAGGGTTTAGGGTTTAGGGTGTAGGGTTTAGGGTTTAGGGTTTAGGGTTTAGGGTTTATGATCCTAAAGGACACCCTCTTGCAGCTCCTCCTATGTCAGAGATGGCTGCTTGAGCCTGCCAACGCTCCCAAACCCCCGAGTACACCCGCCCCCCCCCCCCCCAACTTGGAAAAACCCAACACACCAGGGAAACCTTTCGCCTCAAATCCCTGCAAAACCGGGCCCCCCAAAAATGTCACAACAAACCCTTCAACTCAATCCTGGCTAACACAGCTGACAGGGCCTCCTCAACACTCAACCCGCAACCCTAAACCGTAAATCCTGAACCCTAAACCCTAAACCTTAAACCCTAAATCCTAAACCCTAAACCCCAAACCCTAAACCCTAAACCCCAAAGCGCTGCTGATCGAACCCTTGTGAAGGAGGTTCAGGGGCTCCCAGGCTCGAGCGCTCCGGCGGCTGGCCTAGACTACTACTTGTTGGGATGTTCCCCGATGTTCCCAATCTATATATATATATATGTATACACATATATACATATATATATATATGTATACATATATAATCTCTTAAAGCGTATATATATATATATGTAGGGGATTTACGGTACTTTATTCAAATTCCCCTTTATACTAACAGTCCTTCATAGGCATTAGAATGGGGGGTACTGTGGTCCCGATTAAGGACTGTTCGTAGGGGGAACATCCCAAACCATTCGCTTCTGAACCCCCGACAAACAATGATAATCCATGATCATCCCTATATTACCGTTGGAAGGAAGAGTACTGTTTCCGAAGCCCTTGGTAGTAGAAGAAAGGCCCCTCAGCATACACCCACGAGCCTCCTCGTCTCTGAGCTTGGATCAGTTCAGGAGCAGCCCTCCGTCCGAGCCAGGCATGGCCAGCCTCTGCCCCTCCGTCCCCCGAATCCGAACAACTTTTGCCTTAGTCGGAGTCGGTTTCAGACGTCTCGTCGGCGTCCACTTCTGCACATACCTGGCATGAACACGTGCATGTCTATCAAACTTGCGTGTGAACCGTGTGAACCGTGTGAACCGTGTGAACCGTGTGAACCGTGTGAACCGTGTGAACCGTGTGAACCGTGTGAACCGTGTGAACCGTGTGAACCGTGTGAACCGTGTGAACCGTGTGAACCGTGTGAACCGTGTGAACCGTGTGAACCGTGTGAACCCTTGAAACACGGGGTCCGTTTGTGGAAGAGGCACACCTCACGCTAGTGGGTCCCATCTGCAGCCACTTCAACGCCAGCTCGAGGCGCTTCCCTCTCAAAAAAAAACTTCAGAAGATGCTGAGCAAGTCGCTCCTTCCAGGGCATCCCATGCATTGTTGCCTCTGCTGAAGAAGATCCGCAGGACGGAGAAGCCAAGAGGAAGTAGCGCAGTACCTCGAATACCCAAGAGCGCGAAGCACATGATGAGGAGCAAGCAGAGGTCCGTGATGAGGAGCCACAGAGAAAAGACAACCCTCGTACTCAAATGGAACATATACAGGCACACCAGAAGAGTCCAGCCGAGAACTGCCACAAACACCAACCTGGGTTGGCCTTGAAAAACCCTGAAAAATATCTATAACATAGGGTCCCTTATAAACCCAAACAAGGAAAATGGAAAATGCCCCAAAATCCAACCTAGCCACTTGTTCATGACCTTCAGAATGAAGCGCTGCTCGTCCCTGCGACGTCGGCAAAGCAATACCAAGAGCAAGAGTCTGAGCAAGAGAGATGCAGTGGCAAGAGCCACCTGATACCCATGGCCTCCTTGGTACCCCAGCAACCATATTAAAATTAAGGGCACCCTCTTTTTGGGTTGGTTAATTTCTAAGGGAACCTTAAACCAAAAAACAATGGGGGAAAGGGTACCACACTGCGCTGCCAGGCGTCTGCCCTTCAGGAAGTCAAGCAGCGTCAGCGCCACGGCCATCGAGCCAAAGGGGCCCAGGGACAAAAATGCCCCGGAGATCTCTGCAAAAGCTGCACCCTCGATCTCCACAGCTTCGGCGATCTCCCTCAACGCCTTGGTAGCCCAGCAACCAGAACATCAAATAAGGGCCCCTCCTTTTTTTTGCGGTTGGTTAGTTTATAAGGGAACCTTGAACCCGCCCAAAAAAAAATGAAAAGGGAACCTTGAACCCAAAAAAAAAAGGGCAGAAGGGTAGCCCTGGGCTGCCAAGATGCTGGAGTTGACATGCCCGCTGTCAGCCTTGGTAGCCCAAGAGCCATGTTGCCACAAAAACTACCCTTCCTTGGGGGGGTTGGTTACTTAATCAGGGAACCTTGAACCAAAAAAAGAAACAGGGGCAAAATGGGTTACCCTTTTTGGGGGGTTGGTTACTTTATAAGGGAACCGTGAGCCAAAGAAAAGGGGCAAAATGGGTTCCACTGGGCTACCCAGCAGCAGGACGTGAATTGCATGATCAACATGATGCAACTCATCGCCGATCTCCTTGAGAATGCTTGCAGCATCCGCTTCTTTCGAACATGTGGCGTACTGAATGGAACCTGGGACAGGGGTCCTAATACTATGGGGGTGTACGATATTCGTACCTTTTTGGGGTTCTTAGATGAAAGGGCATCCTTCTATTTGGCGGTCTATATTCGGGGCCCCTTATTATCGTAAACGCCCATATGTTGACAGCAAACGGTCCAATCCTTCCACGAAACCTGCAAACCTTGCAAGGCTAGAAACCTACTAACCGTAGTCTTTCGAATCCAGAACGCCAAATAGATACGCAACGACACGAGACACTACGAGGCCACATGACTACTTGACTAGTATGTGCTTAAGAACGCCCAGACGAGCTAATCATCCCTATATTGCCCTTATAAGGACTATCTTAATTTGTTGGGGGTTCTTAGGCGATAGTCTCAAATAGTAGATGAACCACTGTGCCTCGATAGCCTTGCCGGAGTTCTTCTGCTTCTGACACCGTACACCGGGCATTGATGCGATCCACCTCCATCACGCAGAAACCAACTGCAACCATCACCCAAAAGCACAGATTCAGCACTTGAGTCTCTTGACGTGAGATGCCAGGATGTTGTTGAGGAAGCAAGAAATGGCCGCCAAAGTCATGCGCCACTTGAACCCAGCAAAGTAGCTGCCCAAGAAGATGCATCACCCATCTAAACACGTCCTTGTTGATCACCAGGCTGAATCCGAGCGCCATGATGGCGAACGGAGCCGGAACTACATATGGCTGCCCAAGGCTCAGAAAGCTGGCCGCGATGCCGAAAAACGCACCAAAGATGGCAGCCAAGACCATCCAACGTAAGGCCCGCAATATCTTATAGCGATTGGAGGATTTGGCAATGAGAATGGTTTTGCCCTCTTCTTGGGCGAGATAGGCTTCATAAGCACACCTGCGTTGGCGACGGCTTCACATGGCCTTTCGATATTCCTACCTAAACCCTAAACCCCAAGCCCTGAACCCAAAGGCATCTCTTACTTGCCACAAGGCGCCACAGACGGGTGTACACACTCTGGTGCCGGTTTGGTACCACCAGGGTAACTTCAGCGGCCCTCAGTGCAACTGCAAATGGTGAAGTCTCCGGAGACTGCAAAAATGAAGAAATGTCCAAGTTCTGTGGGTTGGCCAACATGCAGCACCAAGCAGTTTGCAGTCCCCTTGGCCAGCTGTGCCTTACTTTAGTCAGAAACTCAAAGACGCCTTCCTGCCAAGCGTGGCTGACGAACACATCGCACTCCAAGCCCTCCGGATGTCGCATCAGGGCCCAGCTCATTTTCCCCGCGTGATGGGTCACGGGTTTGATATACTGCTCATTAACGGTGTAGATGCTGGGCCCATACCCCTCAGAGATATCGTCGTCTGGCTGTGGCGAGATCTGGCCACTGCGAAGTGCATCCTCCACCTCGTGACGCAAGAATGCCAGGTCAAAGCCCGTGACGCACCATCGATCAGCTGGAACAGATCGATGTAGCTGGTAGGCACAGGCAGTGACACCTCGATCAGACTGAGACATGCTCCGCATTGCCAACCACAAAGCCAGCAGAATGTCAAGAAGCACGGCTTCCGCTGCTACGCTGATCTGCGGATGTGGCTGGAAGCAGTGCTGAGTAAGCCAAAGTGAGGCTGAGTGAATGGTGGTTCTGACACATGCTTGGGGTCATGACGCTTGGCTCACGACACTGATTATGGGTTCTCAAGGGTGGAGGGGTTCTTGGGGGATAGGTACCTAGGGAAGCCTAGGGAAGCTTAGGGAGCTGTAGGTGTAGTGGGGAGTCTTCGGGTTTACATGCCCCCCCTTGAACCCCCACCCCTTCAGGACCCTATAAACTGAGGATACTCAATGCATCACGATGTGCCCCTTGAAATGGATAGGAGCGGAGGGGAAACTTCGGCAACCGCTGGGTCGAAGTAGGGTGAAATGGTTTTGAGAGAACACCAAGCCTGCGCAAACCGAGCTTAAAGTGACGACATGTATGTAGCTTGACGAAAATCCGATTTCAAGGCCCGAGAGCCGTTCCACGCCATCTTTTTGCGCCGTGTCTCCACAGGCATGCGCGTTTGCGCAGCAGATCTTGGCCGAAGGCTGTCAAGGCCTCCACGTTGACACATGCTTGGCAGCCACTTGCACCTTCACCCTGAGCTTTACGCAACAATAGCTACGGTGAGCTGAAGGTGCACGTTGCCTGCAAAGACGCACTAAACTCGTTGCGCGAAGGGGCTTCAGCTGAGCTGAGAATTTTCTGCTTTGCTTAACCCTCCAACTGTTCCTGGTCTGACGTCGGACTGCGGAACAGAGACGCGCTATAAGTTTGGCAATCTGCGCAAGATACCTGTGAGCCTGTTCCTCCGCGCGAGGCTGAACCTCAAGCAGCGGAGTTTCCTTAGAGCACCCTTAGATGAAAAGGCTTCAAAGTCTGACTTGTTTAGCCCTCCATCTGCTCCCGGTCTGGCTTGGAATTGCAAAGCAGAGAAGGCACTTAGGCTTGGCGCTTCCCCCTTGGGATGCCTGTCAGCCTGTTCATCCGCGCGAGGCTGAACCTCAAGCAGCGGAGTTTCCCTGCCTGTGAGCAGCTCAGCGCATTTAGCGCGTTGGCATTGACCTGCCGTAAACAAGGCGTGGAAGAGAGGCAACCTCATCTTCCTGTCACGCACCAGCACGACTCAATGTGCCAGGAAAGAACCTCGAACCCAGAAGAACTGGGGAGGAAACTGCTTATCTTCCGCGGGCGTGCAAGACAACATTGCACCCATGTTGTTTCGCCTCCTGGTCACTTCAACTTTTGGACCGAAGTGGGCGCTGCACCCATATGAACCGCACACCGCACCCTCGGACGCCGCAAACAAAGGTTTGCTGCGTCAGAGGGTGCGGCATGCGATTCATATCATGCGTCTGCATGATGACACATGCCCGTCTGATTCGCAGCCCCCTCGGACGCCGCAAACAACAAAGGTTTGCTTGCGTCAGAGGGCGCGGCATGCGATTCAGACAAGGCATGCCCACGCGCAGACCAAGCTTCCAAGATGTGCACATGAGCCACGGCGTGTTCGCAAACTCTCTTGCATGGTGGAGCGAGTGTCGTGACCGGATTCCCTCAACAGATCAACCCTAAACCCCAAACCACGGCCAATCCGACCCATAGCCGGGCAAGGCGCCTCACATGCACAACAAGGGCTGTGCACATCGTCTTTTGCACCTTCCTCGGCCAGCTGCCTGGCTCTCCCTCCTTGGTCCCCGGCCGTGGGCCGGCGACGCAACCTTGCCCTGAGATCTGCCCTGGAACCTGGGCCTTTACAAGGCTTCCGGCATCACCCAAACGCAAGCGCGCCCGTGCTCGACGCAGCTCCAAGGTCCGCTGCCCCCATGCTTGCAGCTAGCGCTGTTGAGCGTCATAGCCTGAGGAAGCAGAACGTGCCCACGACACGCCCCAAAGCCCGCATCAAGGGCATGGGGCAAGGCGGAACACGTGCACTGGGCTGTGCACATCACCTTCTGCACTCACCCTACTTCTGCACGAACCCTAACCCAACCCTGGCCCACCCTAAACCCTGGACCCCGCCCCCGCCCACCCTAACACACACAAGGCAGGAGAGAGAGTGCGCGCTCCGCAGGCCCCACGAGAAGTGCACAGCGAAGTATCGGAACTCCAGGGTCTCCTTTGAGGGAGGGTTGCGGCTTTGGGTTTTGGCTTCGGGGTTTCGGGCTACGTTTCCACGAGTGGAGTACAGCGCTTGCTCCGAGCAAGCATCCCCAGAGACTCTCAAATCCCCTTAAGTAAGGAATATACCTTAAATCATCTTACAGGGTTCTTATTATTTTGAGGGATATTCCTTAATTAAGGGGTTTTGGAGTCTCTTCGTCAGGGCATGCTGAAGCGCCCAGAGAGCCACACTGCTATACTACAGAGTTATGGAAGGCAAAGCGCGTTGGGGTCGAGATTGAAGTCTGCAAGGGGCCCCACGCCCCTACAGCTGCCTGCATGCGAGCCCACATGAGCTTCCAATCAGGACTCAGCTTGCATGCCCTCTGAAGGCCAGGACTAGCGCAGACAAGGAGGTCAGGGCCCCGCAAGATTGTGAAGATTGTTAGGACTTTCCCCATGCACTCCCGAAAAGCCTCAAGTCACCAAGAGAAAAATAACTCGAATGACACCCGAACTCGTGCAGGGTTCAGGGTTCAGGGGCTGCGGGTCCTGCAAGCAGGGGTGTCCCTAAACCTACCCACTTACATCGCCGGACTTTACACCCCGAGCCCCGCGGAATCCAGTTTCGCAATCCGAAGCTCCAATCCAACACCCCCCAAAATCCACAAGATGCCCAGACCTGCAACCGGGGCTTAGTCCACCGAATGTGCCCCTTGCGGTACCCTGAACAAAGACTCGACCAACAAGAGAGGCCGAAAAGGATCCAGAATTTAGATCACGCCCCTCCTCAAAGCCCTAAACCCCAAACCCAAAACCCTAAGCCCGAAGCCCTAAGCAGAAGCCCTAAACCCTAAACCTCTAATCCTAGACAACCCTGACACCACAGAATAACTCGAAAACTACATCCTTACTTGGAAGCCCTTTCGCCTAGTCAGTCTACTTAGCACCCCCCCCCTCAAGAATCCCTTTAACAGTCCCCAGAACCCCACTTCCCATCCCCACATCCTTACTTGGGAAGTCGGAAGGGCCTCCGAGTAATCTCGTAAGACACTAGGAAGCCGTCAACATGGGCATTTCCCAAAATAGGGTACCCTGTTTTCTATACCCCAGACAGAACAGAGTCCCTTGAAGTAACCCCCCGAAAGGGGACCCCTATTTTCGTCCACCCCAAGTACCCTAAACCCTAAACCTTAAACCCTAAACCCTAAACCCTGAAATCCCCGCAAAAGAGATCTGTCCTTAGATTTCAGCACCAGCAGGGGGGAGACCATGGCAGGCACGCGTGGGTTTGGGGTTTAGGGTTTAGGGTTTAAGGTTTAGGGCTTAGGGTTTGGGGTTTAAGGTTTAGGGTTTAGGGTTAGGGTTTCGGGTTTAGGGTTTAGGGTTTAGGGTTTAGGGTTTAGGGTTTAGGGTTTAGGGTTTAGGGTTTAGGGTTTAGGGTTTCGGGTTTCGGGTTTAGGGTTCAGGGTTGAGGGTTTAGGGCTAGACTTGGGGAGTAGGGTAGAGGCTTGGCTTAGGACATGGGGGCTTTGGGGTATGGGTGGTTTGATCCAAACTTCCTCGTTTTGCACACTTCAGCAAAAAAGATTGGGCATCTCTCAACATAGGGGCACCGGGTACCCCTTCTTACGATAATCATGGTCTAGGAACCGCCCGAAAGGGGCATCCATCTTCGGCGACCCTAAAGGAGGTTCGGGTTACTGATAGCCCAGTTCTAACCCACGTATAAGTCCCTTGCGTACCTTAATATGGTTCGAGGTAGGTTATGAGCACAGCCACTGGCAAGTGCAAAAATCATGAACCTCCCAAGCAGCGGAGGCTCTCAAAAGGGCACCAAAAGCCCATAGTCTAGATCAAACCCCTTGCAAGATTCTGGCCCATGACCCCTTCCTTCGGTTCCATCTTAACCCTAAACCCTAAACCCTAAACCCTAAACCCTAAACCCTAAACCCTAAACCCTAAACCCTAATCCCTATACAGTTTAGGGTTTAGGGATAAACCCTAAAGACTAAACTTTGTCAGGGCCTCTGAAGGCCTGCACCTCTCTGGACTTGAGCGCTAAACTGCTCTTGCAACCCACTTTTTCAAGAATTTCTCTTGTTTTGGCTAGCTTAAAGTTTGGGGTTTAGGGTTTAGGGTTTGGGGTTTAGGGTTTAGGGTTCAGGGTTCAGGGTTTAGGGTTTAGGTTTAGGGTTTAGGGTTTAGGGTTTAGGTTTAGTTGGTTTAATGTATAGGGCCTATGATCCCTGACACGCAATACAAAAGGACTAGGACCTGCTATTTTTAGCACACAAGACATAACCCCGACTGGGAGGTTCGTGGCAGTTGTAAACACAGGTCATCATGAAGCAGGGCAACTGTAGCCTCAAGTGGTTTTAGCCGTACTCTGGGGAATTACTCGTACCGCATGACTGCCCATGAAACCCTACACCCTCAAGTTGGGACTTTCCGCCTTCTACTAACAGTCCTTAGTAGGGATTCTAGTACCCCCTACTATCGTCCCTACGAAGGACTGTTAGAAAAAGCGGGGAACATCCCAACCCCAAACCCTCATGCCGAGACCCAACTCCTGAATGCATCCTGAACCTTGGCGCGGCTATATTTTGCTTCGGCCGAGCTTTGCTGGAGCTGCCGGGTTGTGGAGGGGGGGCGGAGAGGAGCGCGCTCCTAGGGGAGTCGCATTGGGATCCTGTGACTAAACCCTAGACCCTGGACCCTTACAAAACCCGTAAAACCCCACCGACCCTAAAACCCACTGAAACCCCAAAACCCACTAAAACCGTGCAAGCCCCTAAACCGTAAACCCTAAACCCTAAACGCTAACCCCAAACCCCTAAACCCTAAGCCCTAAAAAATCCCTAAGATCCCAAAGCTGATCTTCGTGATGCCAACTCCAGGGAGCGGGTGTCCCTGGAAACCGTGCCGCGGCCTGCCAGTAGCCTCGGAGGTGAGGTTTAGGGTTTAGGGTTTAGGGTTTAGGGTTTAGGGTTTAGGGTTTAGGGTTTAGGGTTTAGGGTTTAGGGTTTAGGGTTTAGGGTTTAGGGTTTAGGGTTTTTGGGGTTTTTGGGGTTTTTGGGGTTTAGGGGGTTTAGGGGGTTTAGGGGGTTTAGGGGGTTTAGGGGGTTTAGGGGGTTTAGGGGGTTTAGGGGGTTTAGGGGGTTTAGGGGGTTTAGGGTTTAGGGTTTAGGGTTTAGGGTTTAGGGTTTAGGGCGTCTCGCCGCGCAGCGGCAGTTAGTACATTTGTGTAAATGGCCCCCCTACACACCCAGGGGGTGTGGGGGGGCGGCCTGTCACGCGAAGGCATCTGTTTTCAATGTAATCCAACAATTTCATTGGTGCTGGGTTCTTTCTCCAGGCCACCACCCAAACCATTACCTTTTAGGGTTTAGGGCTGTCGCCCTCAATTCCCACCATTGCTCCCACAAAGGCGTGGTGAAGGAGGGGGGGGGGGGTACCCCCCATGGCGGACACCGGATTTCAGCATTTTCGGGTCGGGGTCCAGGGGGCCTCCAGAGAGGAGCCCAGGGGCTCCAGGGTGGTGCACCTTTGAGGGCTTGGGCCGTTCGTTTTAGGGTATTCTCATCAATAGGAGGATCGGAGGATCCCTGTGTAAATATGGGCGCCACTCTGGTGGCCTAATGGCAAGGCGAGCCCGACCACCCATTGTTTATCCAGTCAAGGTGTTCATCACTGCCGGATATCTTCTGGGTCCAGGCACCCTAGAAAAGGGTGGGTACGGCCGAGGCAGGCCGGGTGGGAATTTAGGGTTTAGGGTTTAGGGTTTAGGGTTCGCCAGCGCAGCGTGGCGCCCAAGACATGTCTGGAGATATAGGAGAGGCAACCCTAAACTCCAAAGTCTCGAGGCCCCCTTTTCTCCTTTTGGAGGCTCGAGTAACTTTTTACGGGAGGCCAAAATTGGCTTCAGAAGCCTCGACATGTCTGGAGATATAGGAGAGGCAACCCTAAACCCCAAACTCACTAGGCCCCCTTTTCTCCTTTTGGAGGCTCGAGTAACTTTTTACGGGAGGCCAAAATTGGCT